AATATGATAGATGAATAGCAGCAAATGAAATTGTCAAATTAAATTGTATCTCATCTAGTATTAAATCACTTCTGAAAATGAATATAGCTAAACACAATATAATAAAAAAAAGGTATGTATCATAAAGCAATTATTAGAAAAATTGGCATTTTCTCGTAATGTATAGATACATAAATGTAAAACTATATATTAATGTTAAAGAAATGAATGAAAACTGTTTTAAAAAACTTAAACCCTACAAAACATAATTAAAACCAGTCTGTGAAGGTTCTCATTCACCCTGGTCACATGGTATATCTGTAAAAAATAAGTCAAGGCAACTGGACTTGCTGTATTTTTCTTGAAGACGTTTGAAAAGAGGTGTGAAAGAGGCCATTTATGTAAAAATGGAGAAGCCAAGCTTGCATAGAGGGGGGGGGGACATCTATCGTCTGCCACATACAATGCTGTTTTAACACCTCCTAGACTCCTTACCTCCAGGAGGTCTCTGACCCCATGCTGGTTGCGACTAACAGATTGCCTGTATGTGGATTGGAGCAACATTCACCATATTTATTCCCAGATAATTTTTTGTACAAGTCATTCTGAATTGAGAAAGCCGGTCGGATGACCAGTGAAACAACTTCAAGAAAAATACAGCGAGTCCAGTTGCCTTGACTTATTTTTTAAAGATATAATTATAACCAGACGGTATTCATTAGGAAGCCTGTTTTGGAGCTCATGAAAACTGTAGGTTGAGCTCCAAAAAGAAGCTACTTGTAATGAATACCGTCTGGTTTCAATCACTGTGAGTTCTATTTAGGGCTACTATACACCCACCATTTCCAAAAGTAAAAGGCATTTATATTGTACTCATTTAGAAACACGTCTTGCATAATGTGACCTTATGTACAGTACATTCTCAGGCTGTACATTTCTTTGTGGTTTCATATAAGAATAGACGGCGTGACGTGATATTTGAAGAAGTGATATAATACGAGCTCTCTTCTACATTGTAGGGTCGCCTCCCTGTGCGCTGGATGGCCATTGAATCCCTTAACTACAGCGTTTATACAACAAAGAGTGATGTGTAAGTCTTTTTCATATTGAATGTTGAAGAGAAAGTCCCAGGCTAGCAGAATACAGAGAGGGGAAGGATGGGAAGGATGGCGGGTTTGCTCAGTATGAAGCTCATTGTTCATATTGTGAAGAGTATTGTACAACATATTAGTCATCAAGTCATTCCCATCCCAGTATACTTTCCAACTCAACCGGTTTGTCCCCTATGGCATGCACATTACTGTCACAGGGGAACAGAAATCGCAATGTAACATCGGGAATACATTAGACTCTTAATTTCAGAACCTGTAGATGTATAAATATGGACATAGTGCCCATCTACCACCGCTCATCTATCTACCACTAGGTGGTAAGAGTTAAGTCTTCCATGCAGAACTGGAATATATAGTACAGATGGTCAGAACTGAAAACCACCGCGTGGAATTTATTATAGAAGGTGACAACCTTATTTAAGGTACATATTAAACTCGGGGTTCTACCAGGGGTGTAACTAGAAATCACAGGGCCCCATAGCACAATTTTGTATGGGGCCCTGTGATTTCTAGTTACGCCCCTTGCAGAGCCCACCTGATATACCAAACAGCCCACCTGAAAGTGACTCTGCAGAGCCCGCCATAGACTCTCTGACTCTCTGGGCTGCACACCTCTTATTTGTCAGCACTGTCCGCTATCCGCCTCCATGGTCGCCGGGCCCCGCCTCCTCTTCCGTCCCCGGGCCCCGCCTCGTCTTCCATCGTCGGGCCCTGTCTCCTCTTCTATCGACGGGCCCCACCTCCTCTTACATCACTGGCCCCTCCTGCTCTTAGGTCGGCAGGCCGGGCCCCGCCTCCTCCCTCTGCAGCAGCTGCTGGCTGTCACTGACACAGCTCAGCACCACCTGTGAGGAGGAACGAGTCACTGCACACATCACTGACAGGTTGTCAGTATTCTAACAGCGGCGCGTTCCTCTTCACAGCCGCCAGTGACAGCCAGCACCCTGATATGCCATAGCGACCCAGGCGGGCCCACACTGCATCAGAGGGATGCCCTGGCCGGGCCCCCCTGTGTCCGGGCCCCATAGCTGCCGCCTGGGTCGCTATGGCGATTGTTGCGCCACTGGGTTCTACCTGAACTCCACCACGTGTCTCCTGTATGGGTCACCATGCTGGAGAGGCCAACAGCTAACCAATGTTTCCAGTTTCTTTAAACAGGTCATAGTATATGCAGCTTACTTATAGTATACTTACTCCAAACTTATTGGAGCCTCCAAAAGTGAGGACAGAGTTGGGAAGAGTTAACATTCCATGCTTACGTCTCATTACTACCTCTGACTTCTCATTTGTACTTCTGACACCAATGTGGATTCCCCATTGGTTGTCATCAGGACAGGAAGGCCCAGACATCAATAAAAACATGGTCAGAAGATCTTACCCTTCCCCGCTCTACCGGTTTTGGCTTTGTCCCTGAGATTTCTCATCCCTTCCCATCATCTGAGGGGAAATCTCCCCCATACTGACACATATGATAATACATGTTAGGATGTTCTGGAAAATGGTTAGACACCAGGACATGAAATGTGGGGAATGGTTGTCATCAGGACTGAGGGGCCCCGACGTCAATAAAAACATGGTCTGAAGATCTAACTCTTCCTCTACCATAAATGAGATCTTGTTTTTGGCTTTGACCCTGTTGGAGAGATTTCTCATCCTTTCCCGCCCTCTGAGGGGGAAATCTCCCCAATATTCACACATATGATAATACTACGTGTCTGTTTTCCTGAACATCCAAAGCATAATAAAAGGTTTGGACTGGAGCTGGGTTTTCAGAACCCTCTCCACCTCCTTGGTTACGGGATAGGGCAAGCAAGAGGCTCTCTCTGTCTAAACTCTACTCCAGTTACTCGGTTGAAGCGATACTCACAAAAATTGTCTTCTGCACCCACCAACATGATTGATAACTGGCCGGGGGGGAAATCAGAAGTACTTAGATATGCAGTACAGGCAACTGTATCCCAGGAGATTGGCATTTACTTACCCCAAAGCTTCACAAGCTTCATAGAGGTAGGCTGGTTTTCACTGGGTAAGGTGCAGCTTACAAAAATGTTTGACAGCATCACGTCAGCCGTGGGCCCCATTCAGAGATGAGCATATGGGCCTTTATTGGCCGTTTTGTGAGCATTTGCATTTTTTCGGTGGGTTTCAGGCTTGATAATTTCTTTTTTTAATTACTTTTAGCCAATAGGAAGCTAGTTACTAGGCAAACAAATGTGCGAAAAACTCATTTTTTTTTCAGGCACTCCCATTGAAGTCTGTTGGGGCCAAAACATATGACTCTGCCCCAAAATAAGCTCATGTACTTTCTAGAGCGATGAGCTTCAAGCTTCAGTCCACACCATGGCAGCCATCAGAAATTTTGGGGCCCCTTACACGGCTTTAGGCCGGGGCCCCCCCACTGGGGCCCTGCGCTGCTAGGGCCAGGCCTCACCCTTCACCGTCGGCCAATAGTCATGTAAGGGACCCCAGGCTGCCCGGGCCCCTTACATGAGTATCGGCCGTACCCCCCTGATGGCTGTCCTGGTCCACACTATGCTAAGGTGGTAACAGGCACCATTGACTATAATGTAAATCCAAGGGTCAAGTGTTGAGGGGCTTCTGGATGAATGCTCAGGTGTGCACAGGGCCCAGGGCCAGCCTTGTGTGGGGTACAGAGATCGCAGTCCGGACGGTTGGCACATATTAAACAATAGTCATGTTCCATCTCTCCTCCACAGATGGTCATTCGGCGTTCTCCTCTGGGAGATAGTGAGTCTAGGTAAGCAAAGAACTGACGTCTGAAGTTTGGGAGGGCTGAGTCAGCTGATCACGGCCGGGTATATTCATGGCTTCTCTCTCTTGCAGGTGGAACACCATATTGCGGGATGACGTGCGCCGAGCTCTACGAGAACCTGCCGCAGGGATACCGTATGGAAAAACCCCGAAACTGTGACGATGAGGTGTAAGTGATGCGTCGTACGCCAACTGGGTGGAAGAATGGCCACAGGCATCAGATGCCATTTGGAGATGTTTACAAGGTCTTATTTCTCAGCAATCTCTCTCATTGGCTTGTATCTTAAAGGAGAACATTAGGGTTAAGGCTTTTCCCCATAGTTTTCCTTAGGGTAACGGGAGGACACAAACTAGCGTCCTCCCGTCACCCTAAGCTCAGTATATAGGGAGCTACAGCTCGCGGTATACTGAGACGCCGCAGCGGATTCCGACATCGATGTCGAGATCCACACAGCTGTACCCGCCCCCTCCCCCGTCCGTTCCGCCAGTCAGCGCTGGAAGATCGGAGCGGGGAGGGGGGAATCCAGCCCCTCCCCTGTCACGGCAGAGAGCCGTGACAGGATTGAGAAGTGAGCGAACACCGGCATGTGTTCCCTCACCTCCCGATCTACTGAGCCGACCTGTGACAGTCTCATTGTCACAGGTCGGTCTAGAACTATGAGGTGAGTGAAAAGCACTCACCTCATAGTTCTCCTTTAAGGTAGCCATATACAACACCCCAAGGCTGTCCCTAGGGTATTCGTCACCTGAGGTGATTAAATGTTGTTTTGGGGGAGGTGGGGGGTTCAAATGTACTGGCAGGGAAAGGCCCTTTCCAGGGGTTGGGGAATGTTGCAAGGAAAAGTAGCCACACACAGCTTACTAGCACACACAAGGGTGACTCCATAGGACTCTGCAAGGGAAAGGAGACACACAGCTTACTAGCACACGCAAGGGTGGCTCCATAAGACCCTGCAAGGGAAAGGGGACACAAACAGCTTACTAGCACATGCAAGGGTGGCTCCATAGGATCCTGCAAGGGAAAGGAGACACACACAGCTTAATAGCACACACAAGGGTAGATCCATAGGACCCTGCAAGGGAAAGGAGACACACACAGCTTACTAGCACACGCAAGGGTAGATCCATAGGACCCTGCAAGGGAAATGAGACACACACAGCTTAATAGCACACACAAGGGTGGCTCCATAGGATCCTGCAAGGGAAAGGAGACACACACAGCTTAATAGCACACACAAGGGTGGCTCCATAGGACCCTGCAAGGGAAAGGGGGCACACACCGCTTACTAGCACACGCAAGGGTGGCTCCATAGGACCCTGCAAGGGAAAGGACACACACACAGCTTACTAGTACACACAAGGGTGGCTCCATAGGACCATGCAAGGGAAAGGAGTGACCCTAAATCAGGATATCAGGACCAGTGCTCGGAGGACCAGCCGATTCTGCAGGAAGGTGAAAATTCTGACTTTAGTATAACTTCAAGTAAAGCAGCCGCCGTCTACATATTTCAGATCTAGAAAGGATTGTCACCAGCACACCAAAAGTTTTGAAGCAAAAAGTCCTTTATCGACAAATCGCCATCCAATACAAGCGCTTTTGGGGTCTCAGCAGTACCCCTTCATAATTCTGAGCCTGATGAAGGGGTACTGCTGAGATCCCGAAAGCGCTTGTATTGGATGGCGATTTGTCGATAAAGGACTTTTTGCTTCAAAACTTTTGGTGTGCTGGTGACAATCCTTTCTAGATCTGCATTGTTCACGGGGCCGTCCGTGGTCACTACAAGCACCCACCTGCTATTCCGGTAAGGAGTGCAGCTGGTTCTTGACTACACGTCTACATATTTCAGGTACGATCTGATGCGCCAGTGCTGGAGGGACAGACCCTACGAGAGGCCAACTTTCAACCAGATCTCCCTGCAGCTCATCCGCATGCTGGATGCCAGAAAGGTGAGGTCCATCGCTATTGCGCTCATTTACAGCTCAATTCCACACTTCATGTCAGTAACGTGTTCATTGTCAGATCATTGGCTTGTTTTCAATGCTACTACTGTAACTGCTCGATCTCCATCTTTGTATTCGCTTCCCACAATCCCCTGCACGGCAGAAATCAGGCTGCAGGTGGGAGGTTCTGCAGACATTTTGCTTAGTGGAGTGAATGTCCGCTGATCATAGTAGGTCCTGGTGCAGATGTGTTCTACAAAACATAAGCCGGCAGACGTCCTATTGTTGATTTAAACT